TAAAAAAAAAGAACAAATGTAATAATCTGAACAATAAAGATTGAATTAAATAAAAAATAAATAAATAAATAAATAAAATAAAAACAATGAGGAAAAAAAAAAGAATTTAAAGAGAAGAAAGTGTTTCTGTTCCTACTCACTGTTCACATGAGAAATTTGCTTTGCCCATGTCCAGAGCAGCAGCAAGAGGAGAAAGTGGGATTGATGCTTTTAAGTTGGTGGCAGTTCAGGAGGCTCAAGAGTGAAAAGAATGCTGGATGTGATTCAGTTCTGCCTGCTCCAGGGGATGTAAGCCAAGAGGGGAGGCATGGAGCTGCCTGTGGATCAGACAGCAGCTTTTGATCAGAGCCTGTGAGGAACAGGCTGGACGGCCACATCTCGGTGGAGGAGGAACAGTGGAAACTAAAGCCAGCTTACGATGAAGATATCCAAGTTGTAACTTCTATTGGAGTTGTAGATTCTAGTTAAGGTGCACAACCTGAGCCACCCTGTGGGGGACTTGAACACAGTGTCACTGTCTGAGCCTCCAAGTCTACTGCAGTCTGGGATGACCCAGGGACTGGGGGAAAAAATTGAATGCAAAACATCCTTCCCAAAACTGCAAGGTAGAGGAGCAACAACCAGTAGCATCATCCTAAGAGGCCATTACTAAAGGGTGTCTTGAGTGTCTCTTTATTGCTAGAGGCCCAGTGCATGAGACTTATGCACAGGCAGGGTTGCTAGGCCTGGTCTGCAATCAGAGCCGATCTTCCCCACCTGCCAACAGCCGTCCCCACCCCCTGCCACCTCTGCCAGTCGCCCTCTGTGTGTGGGGCGACCGGCGGGGCGATTGGGGCCCTGGCGCCACCCATGTTCACTGCCACCCACCCCCGGTTCCCCATTCCTCATCGGGCGATCAGAGCCTACCAGCCAGGGGAGGTACCAAGAGGTTGGCCAAGTGATCAGGGCCTGCGGGCTGGGGGCAGCTCCTGCATTGAGCATCTGCTCCCTGGTGGTCAATGCACGTCATAGCCAACCAGTTGTTCTGCCGTCCAGTTGATTTGCATATTACGCTTTATATATATAGATATAGTTGGATGTTCTTATGTGGTCTTAAAGGAAAGAACCTATAATATTGTGTAAGATTTCCGTTTATTTTTTGATGCTACAGCTTGGAGAACTACATTCATGAGAGGGGGGGTTTTATGTTTTTAATATCTAACTTATTCCCAGATGCATAAATCTAATTTAGCTGAGCCTTAATTTAAAAAAAATGGTAGCATGTGTTTTATGGAAAGCAAACATATCTGAAGTACTACTGTTCCAATAATACATCTAATTCAAAGAATGCCAAATGCATGAGTGTATCTGAGACGGTTGGATTCTAACATGGCAGAACAAGGGTTAATCGTGTCATGACATTTTCTTTATCTGCCATTAAATAAATCTCATGCAATAGTGAATACACCTGAGAACCCGGATTAGAGGCAGGGGGGGATTATTGAATAGAATTTTCTCTTTGAATCTAAAATCATAGGATGCCTGAAACTGTGGAAGCTAAATAATTATTGTAATCATTTTAGATAACCTGGGGTTCAAGAAAACACTTGGGGGAGGAACGCACAGGGTGGGGCACCTGTACCCTTCATCAGGTGCAGAGCGAGGCTCCTCTGGCCCTTCCTTCTCCACCCCCGTGCTATCCAGTGCCTTCTCCCCTTTATTTTCTGTGATCTCCTCTGCTCCACACTTTTTTCCTTCATCTTAACATGGGAGTTTCTGAGCTTCAAATCTCTGCTGCTTCCAGCCATCTAGCACCTGGGATAGTAAACAGCCAGCCTGTGTGTTGGTAAGAAGGAAAGGGGAAAGGATGGAGGAAGAGAGAATGATGAGAAACACTAATGATGGAGCTGGTGGCAGGGGAGCTGGGTCAGAGGGACAGGGAATAGTCGGCTTTGGGAAGTGAAACCTAGAGCCAGTCTAGTTAAGATCTCACAGGCGAGTCTTTTCAGAAGGCAACAGCTTGTCAAATCGTTCTGCTTCATTAAGAAACATTAACAGGCAATTTTCTGAATTATTTACTATTTATGCTATGACTACAAACATCATAAATCCCGTGGATCATTAAATAATTTCAGGTTTATACCTACGTACTTACAACTGCTAGAGCTTAAATTAGTAGACGAGGTGCTGGTCTAGGACACTATGACTCAACCTTAATTTCCTTGGCTTTCGTAGAAATTATGGTGACACACTATTCCAGGAAAGGGCCTACTTGGAAAACATGGAAGATGTCATCTTTTTCTGTTTCTGGGTGTTTAATCAAACAAGGTTTAGAGCCCAGGATTCAAGGCCACTATGCTAAGGTCTATTACTAACCAGTTGCTTAATCACATCACTTCACCCCCTAGGCCTCACCATCCTCATCTGTAAAATGACTTCTTGCACAAATGTCTCTTTTTCTAAATATTGTTTAAAATCTTTATTGTTGAAAGTATTACATATGTCCCCCTTTTCCCCCATTGCCATCTTTTAACCAGCCTCCACCCCCTCCCACCCCAACCCCCACTCTAGGCTATCACCATCCTATTGTCTGTGTCCATGGGTTATGCACTATTCCATGCTTCTATGTGTCTGGATCAATTTTGTTCCTCAGTTTATTTTGTTCATTAGATTCCCCATATGAGTGAGATGATGTGATACTTGTCCTTCTCCAACTGGCTTATAATGAAAACCGAGGCTCTAAATTGAGAATTACATATCATTATTAGTGTGTGAGGGAATTTGTAAAATACTGCATGCTCTAGGAAGACCTGATCTGGCTTCCTGTTTCTATAATAAACATGTAAGTATGAGCTGCTTACATAAATAAAAGTTTATTTTTCTCTTTGCAGGTAAATAGGATTTACCATTCGCTGGATGAAGTGCTTGGGGAGTCCTTAAATGCCATAGCCAAGTGCCGTTTCAAAGAACAAACAGATGGTTTTGGAAAGTTCATGCTGTTTCTTCACTGAAGTTTAGGTGAGTGTCTGAGACAGAATTTAAGGACATTGAACTATTTCTCCTTAAAGTGCTTCTCTCCTTCTGTGGAAAGAAAAATGGGGTTAAATCTGACCAACGTTTTGTACTTTTACTGAGGTGCCCGACAGTGAAAGCCATAATCTTGCGCCTTTTATTGATTTTGCATCCTCAGACACCATGCGAACTCTTCAGGAGCGAGGTATAGTGATGGCCTAGACTTTACTTCCTGGTCTCTATTAAGCAAATGCCATCATACTTCATTCTATGCTAAAGGTCACCTAATTTTTAAAATATATTAACGTATTTCATATCAGAGTAATAAGCCCAAATGAGACAGAACCATGTCCTAATGGCATGCACTAGAGGAGAATGTGCCGGGGTAATGGCAGTGTAATCATTAACCAGTGCGTGTGGGAAAGGCTGGCATTTGGGGCTGCCCTGGAGGGCAGGGAGGGTTGCTAATGCTTACGTTAAAGCCGGGCACGGCTTAGGCTGGGTGAGTTTCTAACGGCTGCGGACCGTGCAGCGCACACACGTGCTCACATGTGCACAGTGCGCTTTGTTTGGCTCGGCCATAAAATGGACGGATAAGTATTTTTTACCTCATCAGACATAATTCCCCTTCTGTGCTTCCGAAGACGGGAGCCTGCACTTTGGCGCTTTGCAGTTCTGCAGAATGCCGGTCATTGCACAGCAGCGTGGAGAGGTGTGGAGGGGCTGAGTGTGGTCTCAGCGAGGAGGTCGTGTGTCTTTCCGCATCCCCCTGAGTGCAGCTTTCAAAGTGTGGCTTGAGGGACTCCTTGGAAGAAAGGGGATTTCTAGAACATCAGACTATACCTCTGATCACAATTCTGAATCAATGCAACTGCCCAAGCGTCGGCCACCGTCTAAATCTAATCCAGAAGAGAGTGATGCTTCCTTTATGCTTTGGGCATCTTCAAAATGACAGCGGGTAATTCTCTCGTCATCCTAAGGGTGTGTAAATGGGGTTTCCTGGCGTGGTATGTGGAACGAAACTGGTGATTTCATTTATGTAGGAGATGTGGGTAGAATGGAGTTCTCGGGCGCTGAGTTTAGTGCCCTTTCCAAATCTCAGTAAATCAATTTCCCTTCGTGTAACATGACCCAGGAGGAGAAAATGAGAATGGAAAGCATATTTACTTAACTCTCTGTTTTGCTATTGTGCTGGTATGTGCCGGTTTAAACCTCCGCTTCCATTCCTCGTCCTGCTCCTGCTTTGGTTCCAGGGGAGCTGGCCCCTGTGACCTTGAACTCTTAGCTACAGTAACATCACCTCTTCCCTTTGTCCCTTGAGACTTGCGAGTGGCAGTGCCTTTGTCTTCCTGCTGCTGCCAATCTTCATCCAGTAGATTTTCACTCTTCCCAGGTGAGGCTCTCAACCCTCCCATCATCTGGGTAACCATTTCCCTGGATTACGTTCCATGTTTTCAATATTTACAGTCCTGGTTCGATCCAAGAAAAGAGAACAAGGGTCACATGTTTCTCCCAAGGAAAATAAATGAGTTTCAGGAAATAAGTTAAAAATTAAATGTAAAGTTGGGGTTTTTTTACACTGAAAAAAATATTTAACTTAATATTTTAAAGCCGTATTCTAAGCTATGTGATGCTGTAGTGTTAATTTGTTGCTGTTAATAAAATAATTGTTGATACTCCCAAGTTGCTTATCACATTAATGAGTTTTTTTAATTCTCAAATGCACACCAAATAGGATATTTTCTTTTTAAAAAAATACATATTTTTTTATTGATTTCAGAGGAAAGTAGAGGAAGAGAGAGATAGAAACATCAATGATGAGAATCATCGATCAGCTGCCTCCTGCACACCCCCTACTGGGGAATGAGCCCACAATCCAGGCATGTGCCCTGTCCGGGAATTACACCAACAACCTCCTGGTTCATAAGTCGATGCTCAACCACTGAGCCAGGCCAGCCTGGCGGACATTTTCTTTATTAATATTCTCATGTTAAACTTCTGTACGTGGGACAGACAACCTCTCCGTGGGGCATCGCCCTCATTCCTGCGTTCACACTTACATCGAGGGCATCTGCTCTATTTCAATTTGGACCCGACCGCTCCCTTCCAGTGCTGGTGGCTTGCTGCTTAGTGCCTGATGATCAGGACATCCACTTTTCCCGTAACAGACACTGGCTCTGTGGGAAAGCAAGGTGATCAGGATGCCAGTGTCTGTCTCTTTTGACAGGTAAACAATTCACCACTGTCCCAACGATCCCACTCACGCTACAGGGCTTCCTTGGCCTTAAAGTGGCTTTTCACTTCATTACCTAGGCACTTCACTTGGTTATTCTAAATGCATGCGCCTTGCTGTGTTCCTTTCCTTCTCATTTACGTGGACGTGTCCCTTTTCAACCTTGTCTCGGAGGCCACCGTGACTGCTCACCTGTCCATGTTAGGCACTTCACTTGGTTATTTTAAATGCATGTGCCTTGCTGTGTTCCTTTCCTTCTCATTTATTTATGTGGACCTGTCCCTTTTCAACCTTGCCTCGGAGGCCACCGTGACTGCTCACCTGTCCATAAAGTGCATTATGAGCAGAATTACTTGTACCCCCTTCATCGCCGAAAATTAGGAGATACAAGGATGAGCGACTTGATGGTGTGGTTAAAGACGCCGTGAATAACCCGTGTTCTCAACACATATCTTCCGTAGTTTGGTACAGCCACTGAAAATTCTAATTTGTAACATTTCTCTCCAGCTTAAAAAAAATAGGCTTTATAAAGTCATCTGTTTTAAAAAAAATACCCTTGGGAAGAGAAATACACCCACTAATGACAGACACTACATCACAGATAGGGCTAATGCTTTACCGAGGGAGAGGTGCCTGAGTCAGTGGCACTAACACTCCACTTCCGCGGGTCCGGCACACATACGTAGGAGGAGACTGCTGAAATGGTCTCACTGAGTTCATGATGTCTCCCCGTGGGCCGAGGGACGCGCCTTTCATAAAGATGACTCCGGCTGAACGGATCTAAATGCCCTACAGGAGGAGCGGGGGAGGAGGAGTGGACGTGTTCATTACACAAATGAGCAGCATGATGAATAGAGACTTTAAATCCCTGGTGCCCAAACAGTCCAGGAAAGTGCTTTAACCTAAATGTAGTCAGTAGTTCTTCTGCTGAATCGCATAGCATAATGTGGGGGAAATCAAATGTGTTTAAAGGCAGAAATAATGTGTGAGCCCTCTTCATGTCCCTGGAAACTAGCCCAGTGCTTGGCACACTGTAAAGGATGTCTAAATCCATGATTGGTGAACAAGGACAAAGGCACAGGGCAACACTGGCTGATGCATACCGAATTCCTCCAGCACCGTGATGCACACACGTAGACGTCATTTCATGCTTAAGCAACCCCACGACATAGGTAATATTATGGGCTTCTTTTTTAAAGATGAGTAAAATAGGGCCCCAGAAGGGTAAATAACCTGCCCAAATAACCTGCCCAAGCTTAAGTAAGATCGTTGAACATTCAAATCCAGTCTGGTTTCTGAGCCTGAGCACTAATTACCATGTTCAACTGTCTCTCATGTAATAGAGCCATTAACTAGCTTTCCAACTCAGAGGCCACAGTGTTTATTATTAACAAGCCTAGGTCCTTCCAGAATACACCTGTATTAGATCATACCAAAATCTCAAATGGCCTTGCTTTGAACACAAATCCCCTCTTTCCAGTGTTCCTCCTCCCTTTTCCTTTTAAAACATTGCTGCCTAGATCAATTTCCTCATTTCCCTTAAGATCATGTTGATTATTAACAAGCCTAGGTCCTTCCAGAATATACCTGTATTAGATCTTGCCAAAATCTCAAATGGCCTTGCTTTGAACACAAATCCCCTCTTTCCAGTGTTCCTCCTCCCTTTTCCTTTTAAAACATTGCTGCCTAGATCAATTTCCTCATTTACATTCAGATCTCATTATTTCCATTCCTTAATGGTTTGTTCTGAAATTAATATTTTAAATATGCTCTTGCTCTTTTCATGCCATTTGCTTAATTTAAGAATGTGTAATCTTGAGCAGCAAGTTACTCGAACTCTCTGAACCTCACATTCACCACCTGGAAAGACAGGTCTGTCTGCTGTGAGACTAGAAAATAACACCCAGAAAACAACACAGGAAAGTGTCTGGGACATCGTAGGTGCCTAACCAACAGGCCAGTATGACCTAATGACCACCACCCACTTCTGTTTCACAGCCAGTGTGGGCTCCCCCATCAGCTGCAGAGTACAATCTGTGTCCTATGTTCCTAAACCTGTGTCCTATGTTCCTAAGCCTGTGTCCTATGTTCCTATGCCTGTGTCCTATGTTCCTAAGCCTGTGTCCTATGTTCCTACGCCTGTGTCCTATGTTCCTAAGTGTGCCATAACACAGGCAGAGCAGACCTCTTGAGCCTGTTGCTTTCCTCTCTGCTCGTCAGCTGACCTTTGCTAACAGAGGCATGATCTGCCTTCCCTAAGCTATGCTCTTGGTGCCTTTACTTTTTCCCAGGCCGGTTCTTCTACTTAGACTGTCCTCGCTTCCTCACCCCTCACCAAACCCCCCTCGCCCACAAACAACATGCTCCCCTTGGTGACTACACTAGCCTAGTCATTGTGAAGTCCTTGCTAAACCCCACCTGTGTCAATAGTTATCAGTCCTATCTCTGAGTTCACATAACCCTGTGGGTCATTTCTAGAAGATCAGTTCTTACTATAGATGACAGGACACCGCCCCCCTACCCCCCAAGAAAAAGCCATCTCATTCAATCACTCACGGGCTCATGTTGGAAGTTCTCATGTTATCCATCTGTCCTCTCTCTGAAATTTTCATCCAGGACAAGCTTAATCTGTGAATCGCCTGTACCAAGCTCAAAGTAGTCTCCTTGGTGCTGGATGAAGTAGGGAGGGCCGTACTCTGAGATATGCTTGCGTGGTTCCGGTGAAGATGATGACACTGCGGCCACTACAAGCAAAAAGAGAGTCCATTACGGG